ACCATCAAGACACCGCACCTCATTTGAGTCAACATGCTACATACTTGACCTGTTTTTAAGGTCCAATTTCCATATAGTCAAAGTAAGTGTCCACAGTTGGTTCCCAATCTAAGTAGCTTTCGAGGCAATTTCTTGAGTTTCACTGGAAAGTCATTCTGATGCCTGTCCAACCTTGTTGTTCGTCTATGCTGAAACATATCACCTAGAGGTTCTTCGATTTCAGAATCTTTAGCCTCATAGAGATGATGATTGTCCCGTTCTTCTTCTGAATCTGTAATTTCAGGAATTGGAACACGAGCTCTCCACCTGTCATGATTGAAGGTCTGTCTTCTCCTGAAAGCCGGTGTGGTTGCTGGGATTGTATTTCTGGGTGAATGCGGCAATTCTACACCAGTATTGATGAGCTGTGAACTGTCGAAACTCCAGGACGAACTCATCAAACTTGCATGCCAAGCCCAAGTGTGCCGCCCAAAGGGCTTCTAGGCTAGGATCTGCGTCGCCGCTACTTGTCTGTTGCCTTCTTCCATTCCTCTCAAGCTCCAAGCTCTGGTACCAATTCTATACAAATAAAAGAAGGAAAGGTATATTAATAACCTTTTTTACTATAACAATGGAAAGGGCAAAATAAATAGCGGAGAGAACAACTAAGCGGTATAATTAATAATCCTACATATTAAGTAGTGGGAAGTCACTAAGATTTTATTTGAGATAATTTTTTATTATTTTTTAAATTAAAATTTTTATTAATATTTTATTTTAAGAACAATAAAAAAAAAATCGTCCAAAAAAAAAAAAAATCTAAGACATGTAATAATCCTGTCTATTCAATGCTCTCCATCACATATCAATGTATAGTAATTATGATTCTTCCTTTATAAGTGTTGTTTACAATGTCGTGTAGCTTTCACAATAATTGAAATTAGATATTCTATATTTCAAAATCATTTCATATATATTTTACTTATATTATTGAACTAAATGAAAGGATATTGATATTTTTAGTTAGTGTTATTTAATGATATAGAAAAGACTATATTTTTATGAAAATTGATGAAAAAAAATACTCCAATTAAATCTTGAAAAATAAATTAATTGTTACAAACTCGGCATGATACGACCTGTCTGAATATAACAATTTGCATTGAGTCAGATCGTGTCAACAAAACCCTTGGTTAAAGAAAACATAAAAATGATAAAATATAAGTTACATTTTATTTTATTTTTAAATTATGGGCCTTTATTAGGTCATTGATTGAACTTTTATAATTGAGACTTATATTTGTATTTTAGCCTTAGGTTTTGTAATTGAGCTTTAACTTGATTGTCTTGATCTATATGATGTGTTATATCAATATTATTATAAAATTTTAAGAACTATTCTTTATTTTTTAAAAAATTAGATGTTTCCTAAGTATTTTATTATGTATTTGAAAAAAAAAAAAAAAAAAAATTTTGTACTCAAATAAAAGTCCAAAAACATAGAGTAAATATGTGTGTAATTTTGATCTTATTATAATTTTAATTGCTTTATTATAAGTTTGTAACAATGTACTCAAGAAATAAATCTTATTTATGAAGTGTATGAGTGTATAGTCATTATTTTATTATATATTCAATTAAAATATTTGAAATAAATTGTACTATCATATTAGAAGTGTATACCTATATACCAAAAATAACTTATTAATAAATTATATCGATGCTTACTCATAATTTTATTAAGCATTTAATCATATTTGAAGTACATATTTATGTACTAAAGCAAAATAATCATAAATGTAAAAAATTGAAGTATATATATATATATAATTTAAGGGTCTTCAGAATTTAGCTATACTATATAAAAAGTATATTATTTATAAAACATATAGGTATATATTATTATTTTATTATACATTTGATCAAAATATTTATGTATGGCTATATATATACTTGAGCAAAATACCCATAAATGTGAAATACATAGGTGTGTACTTTTGGAGAGATTATTCTGTGCGGAATACGAATGTATTCAAAGACGAATTAGGATCTGCCACATCACCGGTTGCATTGGGCGCCGGTGATGTGGCATTGCCGGATTCGCCTCCGAACACGTTCAGATTCCGCACAGAATAATTTTCCGAACTTTTGACCTTATTGAAAATTTTTTATTGTATTATAAGCGCATACCTATATTCTCAAGAAAATATATCTTATTTGGGAAATATATAAATATGTTCATATTATTTTATTTTATGTCTCAATAAAATATTTGAAGTATATGACTATTTACAAAAGCAAATTAAATAATCATAAATTAGAAGTACTTGAATATACAAAATAATTATAATTTAGAATTATATTAATTTATTGCAAGAATATATATATATATATATATTTGCTTAAACTTAGGCTATATAATATTTCTTATAATAGTACCAAGTTAGATAACTAAGTGAAAACTTATAATGTAACAAATAAAAAGCTATTAGCCTCATATTTTAAAATTAAGTTGAGAACCATCATAAAAGTAATAACTCTATTCTAAGTCTAAGGAAATATAAGAGATTTATAATGTTCAACACCATATATGAATTAAATGGCATAATTCTATTGGACTTATAATTATTTCTGAAAAGAATGATGGAAACAAATAAACTATATATTTAGAAATTCTATTTTTTAATCAAATATGACATAAAAAATAGCATATCATATTAAAAGATAGAAATGATATTGTATAATTGATTTAATAATAAAAATAAATTTATATAAATATCTACATTTCATAATACTTCCCCTACTTAATTTGAGCCTTATAAGATTTATATTATATTATGGGGTAAATGTTTCTCACAATCTCAAGCCTATATGGTCTATTATGTCCCAAGAGAAGTATATGAGTAAAGGAATTGATGCTGGATGACTCTTCACTTCTCATCCACTACATGATCAACACCAACTTAGTCAATAAAAATAGTAAACCATTATATCACACAAAGCTTTATTAATTTATGCTTCATTCCCTTGTCAAGAAAGATGGTTAGGAATGAGAAATGATAAGCCAACGAATTGGTTGTTTTCTCAGTTTGAGCCTTCCCCGAATCCATGAAGCCTATCCCAAGCACTGACATTAGGGCTTCGTTAGGGACAACTTTCTTACTGCTTATTAAAATAGTTTTTAGTAAAAAAATTAAAAAAATTGTACTAAAAAGCTGCTTTAAGAAACAGTAAGAAAATAGTCTCAAACGAAGCCTAAGTATGATCAGCAAACAACCTTTGATGACATCCATTTTTCTTGTCTTATTCCTAAGTTTGCCTCACTTCTACGAATGAAAAGGTTTTGTTAATGAGAGGTTTTGAGAGAAGCGAATACTGACCCTCTTGGAGCCCGAATCAAATAAAAGGGTTTTTTTGTCATCACCTCTTGAACTATATTCTTACTTTAACTTTCTTATGGCATATTAATGAGCTTTTTACTTTTTGGGCATACAACCCTATTGTAATGTTAGATCATATTGAATAAAAATTATTTTAATTGGGCTAGGCACCATATTTTTTTTCTCTTTTCAATATTTCACGTAAAAAAATTCATATATTTTGTAAGTTATATTTTACATTTCAAATTGTATGTGAATCATTATTCGAAGGTAAAATGATAAACTCCTATTCCAAATGAGAAACCTTATGATATATATATATATATATTTGGGACATTTAGGTCAATTAAGACAAACTCACACACATATCCCATATAAGACTCAAACCCAATATCTCTTAGTTGGCAACCTAAGCTCCCAACCAACAGGCCAAGGTGAGCTGTGTTAGAGAATGTAGTATTACTTTTAATATTTTGTTCAAGCATTGTTATTCTTAGGCTTCGTTTGGGACGACTTTCTTACTGTTTTCTAAAGGAGTTTTTCAATATAAATATTTTTTAAATTAAAAATTTTTATACTAAAAAGCTGCTTCATAAAACAATAAGAAAGCTGTCCCAAACGAAGCCTTAATTTAATCATCAATCAAAGTTAAGTTCAAATGATAATGAAATTATTTGAAGAGTTAAGCACAATTCTTTATATTTCTTTATTTTCATATCATAAGAGCTATCTTCTTGAAATTGAAGGGATGGAAAAGCTACAATGATATCAAGCAAGTCAATGATTTTATTTAGCTTATTTAGAGATTAGATTTTTAGATTCTTATCTTCTTTCTAAGGATTATGATGAAGGATTGTTCCCTTGCTCTCTTCTGTCTACATTGGATGGCCTCTACATAGTCATAGCAACCGTGCTGACAGTGATTCTCTTATTGACTGTTTCTTCAACTATTGATATATTAACATCTTTGCTTCACATATGGATGGCTTTGTTTTGATTTGGCAACTGGGTCTGGCAACAATGCTGATAAAACTTTGATTATTTAGAAATGATCAACAACTTCGTGAGTCCTAGGCTTGATTTATTATTTTGCTGTTTTATTTCAAAGTTGTTAATTTGATTTATTTTGTATAATTTCTATATCTTTTATTTTTCATATGTTTGTGATGAAATTATGCCATATTTGTACTCAAATATTCACTAATGAAAGGACTAGTTTTTTAATTTTTCAAAAATTATATATATTTTGCCTTAGCATTATCATTTTAATAATTATGAATTAAAATTAAAGTTGAATGTATATATTTTTATATCTTATTTGAATTTTTTATAATCATGTAATTTTTAACGATAAGCAGAGTCAAATTCCTAATATCTTAGATTTATTTAATTTTATAGAATTTAAAAGTAATAATAATAATAATATATAATATATTATTAAAATTAAAATTGAGAATTCTTATAAATATAATTTTTTTAGACAAAATTTTTATTGATTTTTAAAATAAATTTTTGATGAAAAATATATTAAATTATAATTTTTTTTTTACTAAAAATTTAAAAGATTACTTTAAAAATCGATAAAAAAATTTTCCAAACGAAGCCTTTAATTTCCTTGCTTATTTCGTATAATGTTGGCTTGTAGCTACTGTAGATTTAGCCTGACCTAACCCAGCCTGGTCGCTCAGCGCAGTATCGCTGCCGTCAACTGTGTCGTCGCGCGGTGCTACAGGAAATGACGCACATATCGCCGGCAACTCCGTCTTGATAAACCGAGGCAGCTCCTGGATACTAATAATTTCCCCCTCGATACGTCCAACAAGCGTCAATTCAGATCGGTCTTTCCGCTTCGCAGGGCGACGATGCCCGTCACCTTTGGCGGCGCCTTCTACCTGATCCCTAACGCAAACCCTAGCAAGTATCACCAGTAGATTATCTAAGAACCCTAAGCTACAGAGGCGACTCGCCGCCAACATGTTGTTGGACGAGTCCTCCCTCTCCCGCCATCCCCATCACCGTGCCTACATCGCCTCCTCCATGAGCGCACCCTCATTCCCGACCTTCTCCGGCAGTGCCGGAGGCGACAAGTCGAGCCCCCTCCGCCCCTCTCCTTCCTCCACATCCTCTTCATCCGTTTCTCGCATTCACACCACACCCTCATTCGCCTACAACGGTCGCATCGCACTTGCCCTCGTCCCAGCTGCCGCCTTCCTCCTCGACCTCGGCGGCGCTCCTGTCGCCGTTGTTCTAACCGTTGGCCTAATGGTCGCGTACATGCTTGACTCCCTCCGCCTCAAATCTGCAGCCTTCTTTGCGGTCTGGTTCTCCCTAGTCGCCTCTCAACTTGCTTTCTTTGCCTCCGCCTCCTCTTCCCTCGCGGCCTCCTCCTCCTTCTCATCGCTCCCCCTAACTGCACTAGCACTCCTTCTCTGCGCCGAGACTAATTTCCTCATTGGCTTATGGATCTCCCTTCAGTTCCGCTGGATCCAGATTGAGAATCCTTCAATCGTGGCCTCTCTAGAGCGCCTACTCTTCGCTTGCATCCCAGTAGCCACCCCTGCAATCTTCACTTGGGCCGTAGTCTCTGCCCTTGGCATGGTTAATGCTGCCTACTACTTCTTGGCCTTTGTCTGCATGTCATATTGGCTCTACTCGCTACCCCGCTCCTCGTCCTTCCGGTCCAAACACGAGCCTTCCACAGACTCCCAAATACTTGGCCCCTTGGAGAGTTGCATCCATACCCTCTACCTTATCTTCGCTCCCGTTCTTTTCCATGTCGCCTCCCACCACTCGACAGCCTTGTCTTCCGTTTCCTCCATTTGCGATCTACTGCTGCTCTTTTTCATACCTTTCTCGTTCCAGCTTTATGCTTCCACAAGAGGGGCGCTCTGGTGGGTCTCCAAGGATGAGTTTCAGATTCGGAGGATCCGGGTGGTGAATGGAGCAGTGGCAATGGTGTTTGTTGTGATCTGCCTTGAAGTCAGGGTTGTGTTCCATTCTTTTTCTAGATATGTACATGCTCCGCCCCCTCTAAATTACCTCCTAGTAACGGTTACTATGCTTGGAGGGGCAGCAGCAGTGGGCTCTTACGCTCTTGGCATGGTTGATGATGCTTTAAGTTCTGCAGCTTTCACAGCCTTGGCTGTTTTTGTTAGCGGAGCCGGCGCCCTTGTCATTGGTTTTCCCTTACTGGTATGCCTGTCATTTATGATTTTGCTGCAAAATTGTTATGAAAGATACTACTGTCTTATATGCTTTTTAGTTGTTATGTTTTAATATCTTTGATTTATGCTTGACTATCTGTAATAGAGAAGATTAATTGGACATGTGAAAGCAAAATCCTCCTTGCACTATTTCTGCCACCTGATTTCTAGTCAAGGTTGTTAAACTCTAGAGAAAACTCTTTGCCGCTTCGTATTAGATGCTCTCATAATAGTGCAGTTGATTTCTATGTCTAGACCAGCTACTGGACTATGCAAGCTTATTATTCTTTGTGCTTGAAATATTGGTTAAGCTGATGCATTCTAATTGAACTATTTATTGTTTTATTTTGCACAGACGCAATAACTTTCCCTGTTATTGGTAATATTGACATCTTAGGCCAAGGAATAATCGATTGTTATCTTGGTTTATGTCAGTTGCACTATTTGAAGTTTTTTACTATAATATGAAGCTTTTAAGAAATTCTTCAGTGAGTCCAGTCAATGCGGATTTTATTCAAAAATATATACTTTAATGTGATTTCACTTATTTTTCCATCATATTTTGCAAGTCCTGTTGAATCAGTTGCTTTCATTTTGAATCATCATTGCTATGTAATATAAATTGATATTCATTGAACATTTTATTACTTAATTACGTAATATATAGTGGAGAATTGTCGGAGCAATTTTTTAGCTTCCATTTGGTAAATTTGTATCCATTATTTTATACTCAATTGAATATTTAAAACATACATAACATTTTCATGCACCCTTTACCCTTGTACCTTATTCCCTTTTCTTTAATTGTCACTTTGTTTACGTCGCATCATTATCTTAGAATCCATAAAAAGCTAGGTACTTGCTAAATAGTTTACTTCAAATCAACTTATGGATGACATGGTAATTTTAATTCCAACATGCCATTTGAGGGTATTTATGTTGGTCAATTAATTGTATGAATTTAAAGTTGGGTGTAGTTATACTTTACCACTTTTGTGTTCATCGAGCAATAAATCCCATGCCCATATTTTTTAATGATGAATTGCGTAAAAGTCTCAGTGGAGTTATAGCGTATAGTGCATGGTGCATTACGACCTATTTTAAAAATAGCTTAAAATATTTAAAATTAAGAATAAAATATAGTTAAATTTGAAACTAAATTAAATTGAAAGATAAAATATCATGATAATAAAAAAACAAAAAGTGATGCTTGAGTTCAATTGCTTAATACCTTAACTAATGAAAATACAAAATATTACAATTGTTTTTATAATCTAATGGTTTTATAAGAAACTAAACTGGTTTTCTTGAGAATCATCATCGTTATAAGTAAAAAAGGCCTTGCTTCCTCCATCAACATCATCATCATTTAAGTCATATTCTTTTTAGTGCTCTCATCATCTTTATATTTAGCTGCAACAATACTAAGCCTATATGAAGATTCCTTCTCTATGCTTTTATACTGCTCTTGAATATTGTAGCTTCTTTTATAAACTCTAATTGTTTATGTAATTGTATTTCATGACAAATTGTCTATACATAACCAAGTTATTATCTTTGTTTGACTCATCATCCATTTTTTTGTTAATCAATATCATTTGAAGAGACGTGGTTAATAATGTCATGATGGTTGTATTTTCCATCAATGCTCTATTATATTTCACATAAATTGTATTTTTTGAGGTGATCATGATCCAATTAGCTTCTTTTTTTTCTAGGAAACAACTGTTAAAAATTATTAAATTTACTAAATTACAAAGTTTCATGATAGTAACTAGTACACAATTTTATTTTGTACTTACATGTTCAAATATATTCCAATCACATTTACATCCAAATGAACTACAAATTAGGCTTAGCACTTTAATCATAAAACTTTATAAATGTGGAGCTCTTTGACTATATGCTACCCATCAATCAGGTAGAAGCATTTAATAACTTTAATGACTTTTTAAATATTAAAATATTATTTATTATTAATTTTAATTGTACTGAATTATGTTACCTGGTGCTCGAGTTGTCTTTTGTATTACATTTTAAAGAATACCAAAAAAATCCTTTTACTCTTAATGTATATACTCAACTTATTGCTAATTTTATCATTTTTGTCGACATTTTCATCATTTTTGTCGACATTTTCATCCAATCTTTTGGTGCATACATATAATCCATTAGCTATTTCTTTGTCTTTTGTGATATTAAAGTTGTTGAAGAAGTATTTAGGATTTAAAAAATGTGTAGCTACATGAGAATGATGATGGAGTTATACTTCTTATCTTCTATCTATAATTTCAAAATCTATTCATACTCGTCATTGTTGTTAAAACTTGCAGCATTTGCTTCTTTGGCCTTAACTCAAATGGAAGTTTGTAATGATTCACTAATCTGCAAGAACATTTTTAGAAGTATTATTAGTGACCACTTGAATGATACGATGTATGCTTAACAATTTAAACATCTTCATTAAATTCTTTGAGTTAAAACTGGCAACCTCTGTATTTATAAACGCAATTCCTCTTAGACAATTCACCAAAAACTGATTTAATTTTTTCGTTAAGAGATGTCCAACCATTAACCATGAAAGAATAATTATATCTAAGACAATCTCTTTATGGCGTTGTATTAGTTGTGTGTGTTTCACTTCTATCGTTAAGGAATCCACATCTTATGATAGCTAAGGGGTTTCATATGGCGCAAATTGTTCAAATACCTTTACTAATGCAAGGAAGCTACCGTACTTAACAACATTGAAGGAAATATCATCATCATACATCCAACTATAAAATACTTGGGCAGTTTTTTCTTTCATATCCCTTCTTACAACATTCATCACTTTCTGCTTTTTATCCTTTCTTTATTTCACCAAATCAACATGATTTGGGGTAAAGAAGATATCCAACGGTCCTTTAACCCTAAATTCTTTAAACATAGAAGTTGTTGAACTTTGACTAGATGCATTTGATTTTGCCGTATGGTTTCTTTTTTATTGTTCAACATATAAATTATTAGAATCCAATATCATATTAAAATCATCACTTTCATTAATTTTAGCATATTACATTTCATTTAATTTGGTCTTATAAATCTTTTTTCTTCTTCAAATAATTTTGAAATTCATCTTTTACAAGTTGAGGGCAATTAATACAAGGTTTAGTATTTTTAAAACCTCCAGCCAAATGGCTTTTGTGACAAGTAATTCCTCCCACAAAAATTACATGTCACACAATTATTATCTCCTTTTGCGAAGATTGTATATGTTCATGTAGAATTTTTCTTTGTAGTCTGAACTAAATACAACATTCTTTTGAACTAAATGCAACATTCTCTATGATGCACCTACACTTCTCCTCTGAGAGGTATGTAGTGTTCGACACATGTTAGACATGCCAAAGACGTGTCATGTTAAAATAATTGATGCAATCAAAATATTGCAAAAATAGACAAACTAGTGTCTTCCTATAAAGCAAACTAACTTACAACTATATAACTTAAAATCGACACAAAAACTCAAATAAAATTTAATAAGACAAACGACACCTTAAACTTACACACGACCAACAACATATTGAACACATAAAAACACCTAACGAAGCTTTTCATTGATCGAGAAGAAAGATACAAATGGGATGGCACTTGTGGAGAGAAGAATTAGATAAGAAGCCCGAGACGAAGTCATAGAAGAAGGGGAAGACGAAGAGGCAGAGCTCGCAAGCTATCCAAAAAACCCTCAGATTTTGCTGTCCAAAAATCACTCCATAACTCACTTTTAAAAGCTTCAAAACTTATCATATATATATATATGTGAAAAGAGGAAGCCAAACAACGCCAACAATAATTGACATGAAATTGAGAAAGTTGTATGCTAGCCAACAAGACACATTCGATTAATATTCATTTGTTTGGTTGTCTCACCCTGTTGAGTGAATAAATCTTGAACGAATAGACAACAACAATAATTGAGAAAGTTGAAGTGTGGAATAGAGTGGGGATATAAGCATATGAAGGTTACTTTGATCCGAAATAAACTTTCGATCATATTTCTCCAAGAAAATATATAATGGGCGTAATTGGCCAATTTCAAGTATTATGAGGCATATGAAGTCAAATTTCCATTTCAAAAATATGCAAGACATTTTAGATGGTTATTTCAACTTATTGTCTTATTTCAAATGAAATACTTATAAATTTAAGGAAAATGCTTTATATATAAGTTACTTATATTTTAGTGAAATATCTTATAACTGATTGAAATGTCTTTTTCGTGCTGTGTAATTTAATAGTTGTATGTTTGATATGAAGGATTATGTATTAATTTGTTGACTTAAAGGGCACCACATCAGGAACCATATATACTAATGTTTTGGCTCCAGTTCTGTGGATCTATTTGGTGAGTGTGGCACCATTTTTACTGAAAAAAAAGCAATTAATTTTGCAATTAGTAGATCATGATGGGATCAATTATGCTATTTTTATTGGTTAAATATTTGATTATAGATTGCTTGTTGTGGTTTTAATTGAATGGTAGCACCTTATTTAATTAAGCACATCACTTAGTTTATTGTATTTTGGGAACTACTAGTGATTATTGCTATTTAGAATCCGTATACATGCTCTCTTAAGATCTCCATTAGTGATTTAACTGTGATTGTTCCACTTCATTGAAAAAATAGGATTCATGTAGCTAACCCCACGTAGTGGGACAAAGGCTTGATATTGTTGTTGTTGTTCCACTTCATTGGCAAATGACTAGTTATGCTTTCCTAACAATTTTTTTTCCTAGCGCTAGGGTGATTTAGATTGGAATTACAGAATATTAAGATGATGAACCTTGTAAAAGAAAATTTAAATATGACTTGTTAAGCATGATTGAGGGAATTAAATGCCCCCTTCATTTTAATCAAATAACCTATATTAGTTGTGCTAATGCTTCTAATTATTCTGGTTTAAGTGACTTCTTACTATGGCTTTTTTTTAGTGCTTACATTTTGGTTTTACATTAAATTGAAAAGTTTAGGCTGTCAAAACTATTTGTTTTAATAGCACATTATAACTGAAAAAGTATTAAAAAAAAACCATTTCCAGTGATGAACTTTAAGGCTTGCTTAGTAATGTTTTTCAAATACTCTATGCTAAATAAAAACTTAGGCATTTCACAAATTTAATTTGTGCTAGAAACATGTGGATGGAAAGTGTTATTTTGTATATGAACATCCTCCATGCTAAAACTATGGTCAAAACCATGTCACGCTTGCATATGAAATTTTCTTTCTTCATGCGAGTAGTGCAGAGTCTTATGTGCGAAGCAAGAAAACATCAGAAAATGAAGCGTAATTTGAAAATAACCTTAGGCCTAAATGTGGCTTCGACATAGCATCAATATATGGACAATTAGTCATCTTTGAAATCAATATAATTAGTTTTATCTTAAGATTTGGGCTTTATCTTTTGAATCCTTGTTATATTTCATTGCTTTTTTTATTCGGAATCAAATTGGCGATTGAATTCAGAGATTCTTGTATAACTTGACCTTGGAATGATGTATAAACTTGTGAAACTAGTAAGATGTACATATTTTGTGTGAACCCGATGAATAAGAGATAGAGCAGATAGACGATTTGCCAATGATTCTAATCAAATTTTAGCCGAATGAATTAAAAAAAAAACTAGATACAAGCTGTATTTATGAAACTTGTGAAACTAGTGAATGTACATATTTTGTATGAACCCGATGAATAAGTGATAGAGCATCTAGACGATATGCCAATGATTCTAATCAAAATTTAACCGAATGAATTAAAAAAATATATACAAGCTGTATTTATGAGAAAACTAGAAGTTCCAAGTGATAAGATATTGATAAGTTTATTTGGATCATATCTAACAATGTTTGTTTTGCTCTACATATCTAGGCCTGCTACATTTTGTAGTTCATACTCTATTGGTATATAATTACCTATAGAAGCTTATGATTAAGCTATACAGTAATATGTATGGCGCATCCTATATTTCTATCCATTGACCGTTAGTCATCCTCTTTTGATTCCATGAACCCATGTTAGAATACCGGAGATTTGATGAGGGTATTTTGCATTTTTGTTGATTTTGACTTGAACATGATGCTATATATATCTAGATTGAAATTATTAATCATGACTTTTATTTTTCTTTACTTTTATTTTTAAAGTTTGTTGGATTTAAATATTTATGATGTCATGGTTTAATCTTATGTGCAGTTCATCCCTCTTCCACTGATATCTGGGTTTTATTTAGCACGATTCTTTACAAAGAAAAGCTTGCCATCATACTTTGCTTTTGTAACATTAGCAAGCCTCATGATATCATGGTTTGTTGTGCGTAACTTTTGGGATCTCAATATTTGGATGGCTGGTATGGATTTAAAATCTTTCTGTAAATTGATCCTGGCAAGCGCAATCCTCGCTATGGCCATCCCTGGTTTGGTTCTCTTTCCGCCTAAAATAAGATTCTTAACTGAGCTCAGCCTAATTGGTTATGCTTTACTGCTTTGCTATATAGAAGATCGGTTCTTCAACTATACAAGTATATATTATTTTGGATTTGATGATGATGTTATTTATCCTAGTTATATGGTTGTGATGACGACCATTTTGGGCTTTGCTTTAATAAGGAGGTTGGCTTCAGATCACCGTATTGGGCCAAAGGCTCAATGGATTTTAACCTGCCTATTTTCTTCGAAGTTGGCAATGCTATTTATTTCCTCAAAGTCGGTTATGTGGGTATCAGCAGTTCTGCTTTTGGCAGTTTCCCCACCTTTACTACTTTATAGGTACGGGTTAAATTGTCTTCTATTTTAATGGCAAGCTAATGCATATTTCAAATTCTTGGATATACTTATTCTAGCTTGGATGATATTTTAAACTATTTTAAATGAAAGTATCATCATTTTTAGCATTTTCTCAATTAAATGGGCAATCTTATGAATCTTCATTTTTCATTATTTATGCTGAATATTATCTAAATGTTAAAATTATTTTTAAACTAGTTCTATCAACATTACATTGGTTTAATTTTTTTCCTAATTATTCTATATTAACTTTATCTTGAATGCTCTCTTGTACTTGCTCAATCTCCCTAAGTTCATCTTTTATTAACTATTTTTAGCGGGTGCTATTCCTAGAATCCCTCTTTTATATTTTCTTTGTTATTATTTCTAGGTTTTCTGACCTCTTAGCTTTCTCATTTTTTTCTCTCTACTAGGTTATCTAATAGTTTTTATTCACTCAACACCCGAATCTGTAATACTATTGTAAGATTAAATTTATGTGAAATCAAAGTTTGTTAATTTTCCTAAAAATAATTATTGCTTTGCTTTTTTTTTTTGCAATAGAAATTTGTAGACATTTTGTTTTATTATTTGCCTTCTTGCTCTTTCAATTGGAATATTGCACTGAAATTTTTATATTTTTTAATGCTTTAGATTGTTACGTTCCCTGTTAAAATTTGCAGGGATAGATTGAAAGGAGCTTCAAAGATGAAAATTTGGCAAGGTTATGCTCATGCTTGTGTAGTAGCTATATCTGCTTGGTTTTGTAGGGAAACCATTTTTGAAGCTCTTCAATGGTGGAATGGAATGCCTCCATCAGATGGTCTGCTTTTGGGATCTTATATACTCTTGACTGGAATTGCTTGCATACCAATTGTTGCGCTTCACTTTTCACATGCCCAGGTACTGATGCTGTCTTTTGTGCCTTGGGTTTATAAATAACAACCTTTAACCCCCCTCCCCTCCTTTTTTTTGGTATTATGTAATGATTAGTATTTTTTTTTTGTATTAGTAGATATTGTAATTCATAAGAAGATAAACATTCTATAAATTTAATAAACTAAATGAGTTAGAGAGAAGACTAAGGAGACTAATAATTTAGGATTTAAACTATGGTATTTAGGTAGAAGTCATACTAGAAATGGTATGGATGTGATTATAGATAAAAATTTGAAGAATAATATTGTAAAAATTAATAGAATTAGAGATATAATTATAGCTTTAAAAATTGACGTTGATGCTAAGATTATTAATATTATAAGTGTAGGTAGACATTTAAATGGACATGTAGGTAGAGAAGTAGAAGATTTTAAAAGCGTCATGGTGGCTATAGGTTTGGAGTGACTAATAAAGGTGGTAGGATCATATTAGATTTTATTATAGCATATGATTTTGTAATTGCTAATAACTTATTTAAAAAAGAGAGGAGCATCTATTCACTTATAAGAATGGATATAATAAAACTAAGATTGATTATTTTATTACAAAAAAAAAAAAATAGATTTTTTAGATTGTAAATATTGTAAAATTATTCCAAGTGAAAGTTTATATACTCAATATCGCTTATTAGTCTTAAACTTTAAGAAATGGGTAGAATATGAAAAATAAAATAAAATGTTATCCTACTATTAGTTGAGAGCATTTAAAAAGCACAAACAAAATTATTTTAAGAGTAAGATTCAAAATCTTAAGATCAGGAGAAAGTTAATGTTATGTAAGAAAAGTAACTAGTGATATTAAAAATGTTGGAAATGATCTGCTTGGTGTATCACAATTAAAGGTTAATAATAGTAAAAATAGTTGATTATGGAATCAAAATATGCAAGAAAAACTAAAAAAATAAAAAAAATTTGTTATAAAAATTAGTTCAAGCTTAAAATTTAGAAAATTAGGAATTAGTTTTTAGCCAAATTATAGATTAGAAATACAAAAATTGATTTTATGACAAATAAGAACATTAAGGTGGATCTATGCACAATTAGGAAGAATATATTTAAAATGACGATATGTATCAATGACTATAGGAGAAGCAACTGTTAAAGATAAAAGTTATAAGAAAATGGACTTAAAGTGATTTGGGCGTGCATAATAAAGAGTAAAATATAGACCATTAAACAACAAGCTCTTTTGGCCCGAGAAAATGAAGAAGACACAAAAACAAACCTTCAATTGCTCGGTCACCTCGCCTACCTTAAAAAAAAAACTCCTTCGACAAAGATGCAAGCTCTTTCAGCCTCGCCTGCTTGCGTGTACTCATGAAGACGAAGTAGACGACCGAATACGCACGCTCCTTCGGCCTTCCTTGCTTGCATATCACCCTACTTCGGCTTTGCCTAGGGGTTCAAATGAGTCGAGTTGAGCTCAAGTGCTAATGAGCTTGAGCTCAGCTTGCTTATTGTTTAATTGGCTCGAACTCGACCCAAGATTTTTTTTCTAGCTCGAGCTCGTTTGTAGGCTTGTTGAGTCTAGTCTTTAAAAAATTTCTTCAATGAACTTGGGATAAAGTTGATGAATGGTGCTAATTTTGATGATCAGCACAATAAAATTAATAACATTTTTGTATGCTTCACACTTTTGAAATTTAATGCAAATAAAAAAAACATGCATTAAATAACCAACAATTGTTTTTGTAAATAATTAATACTAAATATTTCTCTATTTCATTAATAATATAGACCAAAATATCATCATGCATCCACTTTAAATATCGCATACCAAATTCTTATCAAAGTTCATTGTGTTCTAATATAATAACAAAGTTCGCAAAGTAATAGTAATGTTTATAAAAAAATTCAGATAATCTATCTCCAAATGACTAAAAATCTCCACAATGCCCGATTTTTTGGAGCTTGAAGAATGGTTTGCCTCAACATTCTTGATTTTTTGAGGTTGAAGAATGAAAACTATAGTAGATGCAAAAGACAAATTGGATATGCCTTTGCCAATAATAATACCAACAAATGATCCTGGAGAGAGAGTGCCAAATGAATAAATCAAGTGCCAATAATAATACAAATATGCAGTATGAAATAAAAGAATCACATGAAATAGTTACAAATAAAGCTATAATATGTAATGCAGACCTAATGATTTCTACATATTCAAGGAGTGTCATTTGGATTGATGCATTTTTTTAGGCAAAAAAACTCCTACATTTGCCAAAGGTTTAAAGTCAATCCACTGTTAATAGATAGATTGTAAAGAGGGATCTTCTATCTTTCAAGATTCTCCTAACTTATTGGTTGAGTTAGCTCCACCTCTTCATCCTCCCCCTCTTCCTACAAATAATTTACATCCAATGGTAGCATTAGTATTACAAAATGAGAAACTTTGAAAATAAAAAAAATATATCAAATCATTACCTTCATCCTTCCCTTAAGATTGTAGTGTGAACAAAGCCAATGTAAGTCGCATATGAGTGCTTGAATTGTCTCAATACCCAACTCAGAATGATAGTTGTCAACAACCCTCAATTATGCACTAAATGTAGATTCAGATGCTAATTTGCTAACTAGAATAGCAAGGATATCGATAGCCATTCTTGATAAGATGCGGTGTTTCATCTAGTTGTTCTTCCACCATGCTATCACATCAAAGGGGCGTCCTGCATGACAAATTTTCAAACTATCTTTAAGATATTTATCTAAATTAGATTTGACGGGCTTCTTGTTTGTTTTTTGTGAAACACAAGCTGCAAAATCCTGCCAACCACTATACTAATTGTCACCACATTCTTGAGTGCTTCTTAACCACTTCTTTTAGCAACGACAATAGATCTTCCTGCTCTAAATGTGCCATCTGTACAATTAATTTTTTTGGGTTTAAATTGCAAAAATGTTTGGTTCCTTATAGCACACATTCTTTCAGGGCTATGATCTAAGTGACTCATATATTGTGTTGTAGAACCTGTGTTACCTAAGCATAATCTCTTCTTGCAATGAGAACATTCAACTTTCCTCTTATCATCAACGAGGGTTATTTCCTTAAATTCATCCCACACTAGATTTTTTTTTTTTTTTTTTGTTGTCTATTGGATTCTCAATTGTGTTTTCATTGATCCGTTCATTATCCTGACTGTTATTATCCTGATTTTTTCCAAAAATATTATCATTATCATTTTCTCCCTGATTGTATGATTGCACTTCTCCGGTTGTAAACTCAAATGCTCATTAATGTTATTTGCAATAACTAGCTCTGTTGACATGTGAAAAAACCCCACAAACTTTATAATTAAAAGGACATGCAATCAGTAACATAAACAATTTCTTATTCAGCGGGCCTCAAGACTAACCCTTTTATGCGCAAAAAGATACTGAAATACTTTTAAAAACCCTAATTAACATCCCTAATAATATTAAGCCACATTAATTTCATGATTAATTAATGACTATTGGTATTTTAGTTCACAAAAAAAATTCAATATCCAGTAAACATTTAAGTAACAAAATATGATTTATTATTGCTAATGCACTATTTATTACTGATTTTCCTTATTATTTAATATAATAAATTACTGTATATTGAGAATCTTAATTGATAAAATATTACTATATATAAATTCATAGAAAAAAATTTGCATTAAGTGAAGATAAACAAACTACTGGTAGCGTTTTGGCATCATTCTAACATTTTTCTTTAAGACTTATAAGCAAAAATTTTCATCATTCTACCAAAGCAAAGCATAAATCCAAAACCCACAAAACATTTTCAAACTCAAAGCAAAGCATCAATCCAAGACTCACAAACCCTAAACTCTAAAGCAATTTTTTATACTTTAGAAAATTTGGCTTTAACGAAGAAAATAAATGAACTAAAAAAACCCTTAAACGGATCTCGATATGTCTATCCCGAACTAAAGCCCTTGTTGCAAATTTTGGAAAATAATAGGTAATGTTTTTGCCAAATGAGTGAAGTTCTAAACATACAAGAGAGAGAAGACATACCTGATCGGAACTAGTCGCAAATCTCACCTTCTCTGCTCCTCGCGCTCATGTGTCATGACCCATAGCGGCCACACAAAAATCATAAAACAGTTGCTCCTTACATTCACGCAGTAGAAAAAAAAATCCAATGTTACGGTTCGTTTCAAACAGGGATAATGTTCACGCTGGGCGTTGCTCCCTCTCATCCGATTTTCGAAATCCATTGTTCCGCCCTTTGGTTTGGTCCACCTTCCACGTTATATTCCTATTCGATCGGCATGATGAGTACTCGAGCCGGGCTTCGCCTCTATCGAACTTGAGCTCGATAATACAACAAGCTCGAAAATCTGCTTAAACTCAAGCTTGAAACTTGATAAGCTCGACTCACAAGCTTGTTAACGAGTCGAGTTTGAGCCAGCTTGTGAGCCAGTTTGACTCATTTGCACCCCTAGTGTCTCTTGCTCGCGTAAATGAAAATACAAAAAGCCTTATTCGCTCTCTGCTCGCAGAAATGAAATACTTGAATATGAAGTGATGCGGGCTCGCGGGCTGCTCATTTTATTTAATTATTTTTTTTTTCAGTTTTTAATAGGACACACGTGACCGATATATGTATCCTTTTTATTTTAATATTATTTTAATGGAATATATTTTTGTTGTATCAAACACGTGTCTAAGTCGTGTCGGGTGCGTATTCGTGTCCTATACAGCATGCCTTCATAAATAGGTGTGTTAGTGCATCATAGGTAAATAGTTTATAAAATATAATATTGTGTTTATGGAGTGTTGTGTCCTTAGTATTTCATTTATACCATGTGATGTTGTGCCCATATCATCATGTCGTATTCGTGCTTCATAGAAACTTGCTTTCAAAACAGTGAATCGAGTTTCAATCTTGAGCACTGGTAGTCACCCATAGTTGTAAAAAAAAGACAGTCACTCAAAAGTTTTGCTTTTTTTACTTTTAATTTCAATAGAGTAATATTATATTAATGGGATGGTGCATTAGAATATTACTTTTTCTTGTAATATTAATGATGTAACAAAAAATTGATGTGCGGGTGGGTAAAAAAATGGAACTCAATGCTTGCCCAAACAACTACAAAAACCGATTTTGCAGGAAGTGTGTTTCTACGAAACAAATGGATATATGATTGTTACTCATCAATGCGACCAACTTTTAGAGCTGAGATTCAAGTACTTACAAAAGCTTATAGCGAAACAAACTTGCATGCAGTAGTGCTGCTTGACGAGTATTTCACCAAAATAATAGTAAGATATGTTGTGTTATATTATCTGTGTTTTGAAGCTAAAATGATACTAAAAGTGTAATATGATAGAAATCACAACTTTAAGATTTATGTGCTGCTAGCGACAGTTGCAAATGCCATCGTTTACTATAATTGGAAAAAGTTTGATGTGAGGAGCTAGGATCAGCGTAGAAGAAATGAGTTAGCTCAAAGTCAAACTGACTTGTAGTTGTTTGAATGGTTATACTGTACTATAATTTACACATCAATTGTTATTCTTCGGATGCTGGAATGGGAAAGGGGGAATGAAAAAAACATGCATTTTGTAGTTCAGATAAGGCTGATGATGGTTGATGCTGTTGTTCTTGCTTAAGATTTTTACTTTTGATAGGTATTATATGGGATTGTGAACTTGAGAGTAAAGCTGAAGATTTGGTTGAGTGGTATAGGAAATGTAAAAATATCAACTATGCACATATCAAAAGATCGAATGTTTCGGCATTAATAATTCCTCATTAGAGTAAAAAGGTTAGGTGGAAGTGTTCAAACTTGTCTTGGTGTTTGAGTTCTCATTAAACAGGTTTGGTGACAGTTTGCTTTCATAAGAAAAGCTTTCCAACTCGTCGAATTCCGTATCAGCTCTAAATGGCAGAAACAGATTTGGTTGGTTTCTTAGTCTGTTGGTTGGGAGCTTTTGCTAACAACTAAAAGTTCTTGAGTTCGAGTCTTACATATATGATGCGTATGTGAGTTTGTCTTAATTGGCCTAAATACACCCCCCCCCCCCCCCCCCAAAAAAAAAAAAAAAAAAAAAAAACAAAAAGAATTGGTTGGCTTCTTGCTACTGGCCCAGAGTTTCATTTTCACATGAAAGTTCTACTATTATTTACAGATCTTATTTTTTTATTTTCAGTCCTTACCAGTGGTTTGCCAATAACCTAATAAATTTACACTAGCAGTAGCATCGTGGAAACCAACCAAAATCTGTTATTGTTAGTTATCGCCATTTCTTTCTCATCCTTTGGTACATGTGTGAGTTCAATTTTTTTGTTTTATTTCAGTTTATTTTGTGCTTTATTAGAACATGAGATTAGTCCACAAACTCTCATTGGTTAGATTAGTAATCCACTGTTTACATTCATTTAATACTGCAATGGATTTAAATTACAAGTCCACGTTATATGCTTGTCCCGTTGTTTATATAAATCTCCCTTGATACTGCATTAAAGTTTGCCTTGGGTAGCTTTATGCTGGGACGAGTCATAAGTCATATATAACGTTTTACAACAGATGGCCATGCATCTCACCGTACTTAGTCTCACTACTAACCCCAGGCTTGAAATTGAGCAGCTTCTAATGTGTGACGTACCAAACTCTAGAGAGTGAACTCAAATTTTTTTTTGAATAAAAAAAAAAAAATTGGTGATAGCATAAGCGAATTAACACTGACATGAGATATTTTATTTCACAATCAGTTTAATGTATGTTCTGGTTTAAACATGAATGTGATGACATATGTGCACAGCATTCTTTATATGTTCATTCAATCCCAAACAAAAGTTTGTGTCAGATGATATTGGTTGGGCTACATTTAGGTTTTGTTTGGGACGGCTTCTTACTGCTTCTTAAAGCATCTTTATAGTACAAAATTAAAATTTGTACTAAAAAGCTGTTTTAAGAAGCAGCAAGAAAGCTGTCCCAAACGAAGCCTTAGTTTCAGTGCTGTGACATATTGGAGTTAAAAAAAGCCAGTTTTTCATAACCTTAAAAAATATGCTGCATCCTCTTATCCTCTGTTTAACAGAACATAGTTTTAATTTGATGATTACCGTTTCATGATTTATTAAGATTGTAAAGCTGCTTTTGTCTTTCTGCTTTGTTTATTCGCTGAAGGCTGTTTAATTTCTATTTCCGCAGCCGGCAAAGAGATTCCTGGTGCTTGTGGTGACCATGGCCCTCTTACTTATACTTTTGCAGCCTCCAATCCCTTTATCTTGGGCATTTAGGTCAAACTTGATCAAAGCAGCTCGTCAGTCTTCTGATGACTACTCTATATATGGTTTTGTGGTTTCCAGGCCTGCATGGCCTTCATGGCTACTTATAGCAACAATATTACTAACATTAGCAGCAGTTACAAGCATCATTCCCATCAAGTATATTGTTGAATTGAGAGCATTTTATGCAGTTGGAGTTGGGATTACGCTAGGCATCTATGTGTGTGCAGAATACTTCTTTCAAGCCGTAATCTTGTATCCACTTATCGTAGCAACCATAGTCTGCGCTTTTGTCTTTGTAGTTTTCACGCACTTTCCATCCGCATCAAGCACCAGAATCTTACCTTGGGTTTTCGCTCTCATGGTGGCTCTCTTACCTGTATCATACCTAATGGAAGGGCATCTCAGGGCAAAGAACATTGTTGATGACACTGAACCTGACAAGTTTAGCACCTTGTTGGCAATTGAAGGAGCAAGGATGTCACTTTTGGGGCTTTATGCCATGCTATTTATGCTGATATCTTTGGAGATTAAGTTTGAACTGGCGACCCTAATGAGAGAAAAAGTTTTTGAAAGAGGAGTTGCTCCGAATCAGTTCAGTCACAACGTTGGCTTTCAGCCAAAACTGAGGCTTATGCAACAACGGAGGGCATCTGCAGCACCTGCTTTCACAATCAAAAGACTGGCAGCCGAGGCTTCTTGGATGCCTGCAGTTGGCAACGTCTCAACTGTTCTTTGCTTCATTATCTGCCTTATTATCAACATGAGCCTTACAGGTGGTTCAAACCGTGCAATATTCTTCCTTGCTCCCATTCTGTTACTTCTCAACCAGGACTCGGATATTCTCGCTAGTTTTGGGGACAGACAGCGTTATTTCCCGGTGACATTTGCAATCTCTGTATTCTTGCTATTGAATGCTATCTACAGGATATGGGAGGAGGTCTGGCATGGAAATGCAGGATGGGGACTTGAAATTGGAGGACCTGGATGGTTCTTTGCTGTAAAAAATGCCGCACTTATTGTTCTTACCTTACCCAACCACATCCTCTTCAACCGCTTCATGTGGGACTATGTTAAACAGACTGACTCGATGTTGCTTCTGACTATGCCTCTTAATTTACCATCTATAATTATAACAGATATACTTACTGTGAGGATTTTAGGATTTCTTGGTGTTAGTTATTCTCTTGGTCAATATCTGATATCAAGGAGGATTAGAATGGCTGGAATGAAGTATATTTGAAGCAGGCTTAGCTGCCATTTACTCGAGGTTTTTTCTTCCCTTTTTGTAATGCCTAAGTCTTCGTTTGGGACGGCTTTCTTACTGATTCTTGAAACGACTTTCTAGTACAAAAATTTTATTTTTTGTAATAGAAAGCTTCTTTAAGAAGCAAGAAGAAAGCATCCCAAATGAAGCCTAACTTTTCAAACTTTGGCTGTTTGTTGATCTAATATGTAATTTTGAACTTCACACGCTACTTTTCTCTTGATTTGCAGGTTTTTTGCTGGTTAGATTCTAACTGGCAATTTTAAACGGATATCTGGATGAAGTTTAAATGATTAAACTGGGACTTCTTTTGTCTGCATTTTCTGTCTCTTGTGGAGGCAGCTTGTTGATTAAGCGCACGCCATGATAAATGGTTGAAGACTCAGGTTTTTTGTAGGTATGCTTTTTGTTTAAAATTATGAAGACAAGACTAGTCTGGCGTTCAACCTTTTGTCGTGGTGAGTGGTGCTTGCTGTGATTTTTTTAGATAATTTTATATGTTTTTTTAGAACAATCCGAGCTATAAAAATAAATAAATAAAATGATGTATTAATGCTACAGGTTTCTAGCGTACACTTTTTTTGAGCCAGGAAGGGGAAAAAAACTGTACCTTAGTTGATATACGGCATGCCATATTACTAATTTTCTCTTTAGGGTCAATTTATTTTGATAAATTTTGTGTTTTATTGGACTTAGGGTTTGTTTTTTTTTTTTGGGAAAATTTGGGGCCAAAGCCCATATATTCCTATATTGAGAAAAAGTTACAAGTAAAAGTAACAAAAAGTAAAATCCCAACATAAGCAAGAACAAAAACTTATGTAGGACAAAGAAAATAAGAAACCCCAACTATACCACCCATATCATCAAAAACTCAAAAAGAGCACAGAAAACATGTGAAACATTAAACCCAAAGAGCTGGAGATGAAACCACCCCAAACAGTCAACAGAAGAGCAATTGGAGGAACATAGCAGCCAGCAACAAGATTCCCAGCACCACATAAGATGAAGTCAAACATGTGAAAAATACCAGCAGCCAAAGACCTCTCCCAGATTGAATCCCAACTGAGAGCAAGAACCTGCAGGCAAAATAGAAATAACGGCTCCCAAGTCCAACTGCCTGGACTCAGAAAAATGCAATATATCAAGAAACAAATCCCTGGTTGCCCGAAGACCGTCCAAGGGATATAGATAGGGAGCTTCATCATCGTCCAGACAGAGCAAAATTGCAAATACCCGAAGTGACCAAATTCCACTGAGACGGAACAGAGAAGAACGAAACATCCATAACTGCATAACATGATCCACCATAAATTTGCCACAGAAAGCAACAGAACCGTCCACCAGCTAATCCCAGATTTACCATCATGCCCAATATCAACAGGAAAACATCCTGCACCAACATCTCGAAGGAACACAGCAATAAAATAGGCAAAATAAATGCCAACAGCAGCAGGGCTTGAGAAACAAAAAAACCCAGAAGATACCCAGTAACTCCCAGAATCAAAAAGCCTGACAAATTATAGTTTCTCCAAGAAGTCCCAAGCATTCTTCCATTTCAAAACCTTGTCAAACATGTTTCTCTTAATGTTTAGCAGCAAAGTAGTGTGGCATAAATAGGAATTACAAAATCTCCTGCTATTACGCTCTTTCCAAATATGATAAATTGCACAACAAGTCAATACTTTGTAAAAAATTTTAAACTCAGCTTTACCTTTGAACTCAGATTTTACCCACTCCAAAATCTGCATTATATTGGGCCTCAGAAGGAAACATTTCAGACCAGGAATGAGGGCAGAAATGATAGAGGAGTAAGGGCATTCAAAAAATAAATGTGTAACATTTTCTTTATGGAAAAAACAAAAACTGAAAAGGTCCGGAACAATAATGTTCCTAATTTGGAGAGCATCTGCCATTTTCAGCTCCCCCATTAAAGCTAACCACACAAACTGAGTGTTTAATGATATTTCTTTTAGGCCAAAAAAGTTTGTACCTACAATTAGGAATGTCAGCATAATACTCAATAAATTTGTTGAATCTATAGTTTTTGCAATCTTTCCAAATCAGACACGGGCCAGCCTCATTAGAAACAGAAAACTTCTCACAAATGTTTCTAAAAAACAGCGGGAAGTCGTCAGGAAACACCCAGTGAGACGAAACAAGAAATTCATTCAAAGAGCAATCCAGAATGCCCTCTACAAGATTAACTCCTGAAAATTCAGCCAAGGTGATGTTATTACACCAATGGTCCCATCTCAAGGAAATAGGAGCATTATGAGTAATAATAAACTTAAAGCAAGACTTAACACCAACAACAGTCTCACAAATTGAATGCCAGAGTTTTGAGGCAAAAGTAGGTGGAGGGCTCCAAGGAGACCTGTATCTATAAGTAAGCCAAGTAGAAAGAGGCGAAGGGAGGTTATACATCCTATAAATGACAGAACAGTTGTAGGCAAATTGCAGAGCAAAAATGGAAGGGATACTAAGGTCACCCTTACATTTAGGCCTACAAATTTTGTCCCAAGAAATCATATGTAACTTTTTAGAAACCTGAGAATCCCCAAAGAAAAGAAACCTAGAGGAGGTTTTTTTGACATATTTGTAGACAGCTTTAGTTAGAATCGACCCCCTGATCCAGTAGGCAATGGTGTTTTGAATAGTGAATTTGATATATTGAAGCCTACCAGCAAAGGACAGTAAGTTAGCCTTCCAACCATTCATTTTCTTATTAACACTATCCATAAGAGGCATGAAATCTTCAATTCTCAACTTGTAGAAAGATAGAGGAACTCCCAGATAAGAGATTTTAGAAACCATATTGTGAATCGACAGAGCTTGACAAAGGTCAGAAAAATTGTTCAAATGTTTAGGAAACATAATAAAACTTTTGTCATAATTAATATGAAGAACTGAAGCGTTAGCAAAATCACTTAAAATCTTAGCCAACAAGTTACAGTTATCAATAGAGGCCTCTCCAAAGATAAGCACATCATCTGCATAAAGCAAATGATTGATGGAATATTGCCCAAGAGAGATGCCTTTAAAACCCCGACCCTCAAGGATATTAGAGAAAGCATCCATAACCAAATAGAAGAGATAAGGACTAAGAGGGCAACCTTGCCTTAACCCAGCAAAAGAAGAGAAATACCCCTCAAGGGCCCCATTAAGCACAATGGAGAAGTTGACATCAGAGATACAAGCTTTGATCCAATTCACAAAGAGATTAGGAAAACCTTTTTGAAGAAGTCTAGCTAACAAGAACTCTTTGGAAATAGAGTCGAAAGCTTTTTTGACATCGAGCTTAGCACAGAAGAATTTACCTCTCTTGTTCTTACCAACATAAGCAAGAATTTCACTAGCAAGAAGGATATTGTCGGTAGAAACTCTAGATTTGACGAAACCAGCTTGGTTGTCCATAACAATGGAGTTCATAATCGGTTTAAGTCTTTGAGCTATAACCTTTGCAATAATTTTGTTGAGAGAGTTACACAAGGCAGTCGGCCTGTGATCAGAAATCAGGGTAGCATTTTTGTTCTTGGGGATGATAGCTAAAGCCGTAGCTTTAACCCCATTAGGCATGTAATATTTTTGAAAGAAAGATCTGATAGCTCTACAAACCGATGGACCAATGATGTGCCAAGCTGTTTTATAAAAATAGAAGTTAAATCCATTTGACCCGGGTGCAGAGTTGGAAGAACCCATGAAAACCACCTTCTTAATTTCATCATCCATAACAGGAGAAGTGCAAGAATAAACAAAACTGTCAGGAAGCCTTGATCCAACTGGAAAAAACTCCAACCGCAAGAAAGTAGGAGGGACGGGATTATAAAGATCTTGGAAATAATCAGTAATAGCAGAAATAACATCAGAAGTAGAGGAAGAAGGATTACTAGCAAGCAGATTCGCTACCGATTTGTTACCTCCTCTCCTAGTCCTAATTTTAGCAAATAAGAACTTAATATCATCCTCTCCATTTTTTAACCAGTTCACCTTAGCCCTCTGAATAGTCCAAGAAGTATGAATAGAATTGAAGTTAACTAATTCAGCTTTAACATCTTTGCATGAAAGATTTAAAGCCAAATTATTGTGATCATCCTGAAGCTTACCCAACAGATCCACTTGTTTCTTCATCAATGCATCTAAATGCCTCTTGATACTTGAGGATGAACAAACCTCTTTTTTGATGCAGCCTTTTAACAGTTTAAGAGATTTACAAAAATGAGACAAAAGGATTGCCATTACAAGGTTGAGAAAAAACCTCCAAAAGATGACACCAATAGTTGTCAAGCTTAGTCCAATAATTTTTAAAAGGAAACCTGTGATGCACCTGAAAGTTGAAGCCAGAATGGAGAATAATAGGGCAGTGATTCGAACAAGATGGATTTTGAATAGAATAATACGAATCAGCAAAGGCATTCAACCACCCCTCATTCACAAGCACTCTGTCTAGTTTGATGTGAATGGGGTTATCAGATCGTTGATTAAACCAGGTATATTTCAAGCCAACAGAATTAAGATCCTTCAATCCATTACTAAAAATCATATTATTGAAGTCTGTCAAGGCAGAAAGAGTAATAGGAGAACCACCTAGTTTTTCAGAAGTAAAACGACAACAGTTGAAGTCCCCTATAAGAGCCCAAGGGAATTGGTTGGCAGGAGAGGACTGAGCAATGGAGTCCCACAAAACCTTACGTTCTAAAGAGCTATTAGAAGCATAAATAACAGAAAGCTGTAGTATAGGTTGATTAGCAACCCAAATCGTACCAGAAATTAACTGAGAGGAGATCATAGTAGGCTTGAAGCATAATTTTGAGGCATTCCATTTAACCCAAATCCTCCTCGAAGAGTTAAGATCGAAGTTATGACAGCTGGCTTCATCCACAAAAAAGAGAGTGAGAGGATTCAAAGAAAGGGTCCTGAAGCGATAAGGCATTGGTCCGATTCTCCAAAATGCAGACCAAATCGAGCTTAAAAGATTGAATAAGTCGCTTACAACCAAAAACCTTATCAGGGTGATTGAAACCCCTGACATTCCACGCCGCCATGGGTGGAAAAGACATTATTGATGTTGATTAGCATGAGATTTTTTGGTTTGCTTCCCCCTTGCAGGTTTTTTGGATGATCAGTAGGAGTTTTATCAAACTTATTATCCCTATCCTCTAATACTTTTAAAACTTCTTCTTGTTGACTTTGATCATCCTCTATAATTAAAGCATCAAACCTATTAGGCGAGGTTATAGCTTTCGGTAAAGCAGTTGATAGAGAGTTCTGAGACGAGGTAATAGCTTTCAGAATGGCAGATGATAGAGAGTTTTGGGAGCTGGAAGAGGAGGAAATATCCTCATGAGGCGAATTCAGATTCGGAATGCCAGAAACATTCACCTCCCCAGAAGCAAGAGGAATGTTTAAGGTGAAATCCCCAACCGTTACAGCGGTTTTAAAAGGAGAATTTTTAGGTGTGGGTGAATGGGGCTGATAATTTAAAGGTTGTCCTAGAGCATTTGTGATGGACGTTGTAGCTTGAATGACATGAACAATATTAATTTGCCCAGAATCGGTCTTACCCACAATTACCTCAGATTGTCTGATCTGAGATTTTGATTTTGCCCGATAACGAGCCTGCCTGCTAAAACTCCGACCACAATTGCCTTTTCCTTGGTTTTAACATTTTTATCAAGAATAGGTTTTGTCGGACAAGATGATGAAAAATGCATTAAAGACTTACAATGATCACAGGGGAACGGTCTCCACTCATACTGAACTTTCAGCTTAACCTCAACACCGTCCAAAGAGACACGAATCTCCTCCGGATAGGTAGCCAGATTATCCACAAGAACACAAATCCTGGCATAAGTAAGTCTGGTCTTTTCCTCAGTGAGTTTGTCCGCAGCAACAGGAATGCCGATCTTGCTAGCAATGCGAGAAATCCCTTCAGAATTCCAACAAGCTAGGGGGAGGTCATGAATTTTAACCCAGATAGGAACAGTGGAAAATTCCTCCCGCTTGGGGATGAACTTCGGATGCCATTTCTGAAACACGAACGGCTTTCCCAGAAGAAACCACACACCTCTCGACCAGACCATGTCGAAATCATCCCGACAAGAGAAGCGAAAGAGGAAGAAGCCGTCATTTAATGAGAAAAGCTTAACCGAACCAGACAAGCTCCACGTTTTATTGATAGCTCCGGTCAGAGCTTCGTAAAAAGGCCTTTGGCCAATCGAGTACCCAACCAGACATAAACTCTAATCCTCACCTCCTTTGCTCAGTTTCTCACAAGAGAAAGGAATGACTTCCGGCTCCGAAGGATGATGTGAAAAAGAAAGGGTTTTAGTAGAACTGACCTCAGAGGCAAACACATGACTCCAGTTTTTAGGAGGAGAGCTAACAAAACTACCAGCTTGCGGACAGAGGGGGAAAATCAGAAGGGGGAAGAGAGGAACCCATGGCGAAGAGAGGAACGTATCCTCCGGCAACGCCGGAGGAGGAGGACGAGATGAGGGATCAGCAGGAGGAGGCGCTAGGGCAAAAGAAAACCCTAGGCGCTCGGGGTCCAAACTCTCTATACTTAGGGTTTGTTTGAGATGACTTTGTTATTGCTTTTTAAAATAATTTTTTAGTACGAAAATTTCAAGTTTTAATTTTTTTTTGTATTAGAAGCTTTGCTTTAAAAATAGTAAGAAAGCTATCTTAAACAAAGACTTAAGTTTCGTTTGGGACGAGTTTCTTATTGCTTCTTAAAATTACTTTTTAGTACAAAAATTAGAATTTTCATATTAAAAAGTTGTTGTAAGAAGCAGTAAGAAAGCTGTCCCAAATGAAATCTAGTTTTAGTGATGTGTTCTTTTTATTGTAATAACTATTTCTTAGTTGTCCTTCATTAATGCATCTTTTTTTATTTTTATTTTCTGGAAAAAAGTTAAATCATATGAAATTTCTTGTTTAACTTAGTCATGCATTATTATTATTATTATTATTATTTGCATGGGCTAAAAAAATTGAAGGTGATTTTAAAAATATTATAATTGATTCTCAGTTCTTTTTTTTATGATTATGAGTTCTAAAAATGCTCATTTAGTTCCAAAGATTCTTTTATTATGGTGAGTTGAAGAATGTAAATATAAATAGTTATTCAAATCCAAAGATTCTATCATTCACAATGATTATTAAATCTGTAGTCTATAGAATTAATGATAGGTGCCAAGCTATGGAGAAAAAAACAATAATTTTTTTGTGTATGACTTCATAACAAGTGATAGACAGCCTATAGAATTAGTGAAAGGGAATCTAGGACACCCTGTATTTAGAAAGAAAAAAATATTATTCAATAGCATGTTTTTTTCCCTTCACAACTAATACACAGCAAGACCATGAGATTACCAAAAGTCTTGCCTCCTTTGGATTTTGTTGATATATCCTTGATGTTAAACAGTGCGCTGTTTCTCTTTGTGTATTGTGGCTCGGTATTGTTTGGTACTACGGCTCAGTATCGATGACGTGGTTGTACCTGATTCACCTCCGGATTTAGAATTAACTTAAATAGGCTAATTTGGATTCACCTTATGCTAACTTTAGTTAGCCAAAGAGTTAGATAAACCCAAGTTGTCTCTACATCTTCTAAGAGCCTATAAGATATAGTTGAGCCTCTAAGAAAGTAATCTAAGAGATAGATCAATCTAGGTCAAGTCAGAATGGTAGGTATAGTCATCTATGAAATTTAAGATGACTATATTAAAATAATAAAATAATACCTCAAATTTATTTTTTGTATTTTTCAAAATAAATCAATTTATTTTTAAAAATAAATACATTTAATTTTAATTAAAAAATAAACAAAAACAAAAATTGATTGCAATAATTAGCATTTGTTGATCCTAAATGATACAATTAAGGGGGATTTACAAACATACCATTTTATTTCATGTTATTTATCTATCTAATGCCTAAAATTTTAATATTATATGTCTACCACTCATAGAATAAATATGAGTGTATGAAATAAAATATTAAAATTTATAAGTGATATGAGTGGTAAGAATGAAATATAACAGTGATATATTTGATATTAAAAATTTATATAAGTGATAGGAATGTAATATTAAAATTTAGGATGTGTAAATATGATGAAATAAAGTGTAAATCCCCCTAAAAATAATTATGATGTTGAGTGTCATTTGTTTATTAAAAAATTGTTACGTAATCATGCTGTCAGCAGTCATAGTTACTGTACGCGTTAGCTTTATTTCAAAGTTTTATTAAAGACTAAATTTATTAATTTAAATTTCCTACTCATTAAGAAATAAAAGTGCTTAGAATCACGTGAGTATAATTAGACTAAAACCATATCCTAATTAATTTAAGAGTGGACTGAGCCATTGAGGCACGCATGTGAAGAGCTCTGAACATGCCATTAACTTAATTGATTTAAACAGTATTATGAGCATAATTTTTCTTTAAATTGTGATTAAGACAACTAATCATATTTTTAAACCTGTGCTCTGACAAATCTGTCCTGTGTTAATCCATAACTAATAATCGAATTTCAAATGATGAGCAACACAATTTGTCCATTTATTTCCTTATTTCCTTAAGGTTTTGAATATAAGATCTTCGGGTTGTTTGGCTTGCTGAAAAAGAAATGTAAAGTGCTCAATGTTGAAATGTTGGTGTTTGGTTTAATGAAGAAGTAACGAGTAAAGTTTTGATTAATTTACTCATCATCCATAATTCGATTTTTATGTATTCTAAATTCGTCTGTTTTGACCAAATTCTACAATACATTGCAAGCAGACTTTGCTGTTGTTACCAAGCATCGCCCCTTGTCATTAACGGCCCCCATCGATCTCCCCTTGCCATTGTCGCCCACTACTGACTGAAGTGGAGCATCTGCTAGCCATCGCTGTTATCGCCTACCCACCATCATGCCATTGCCAACTAACGTTGTTGGCCGCCAGTCAGCCATTGTTCCTACTAATAGTTGGTCGTTGGCACCAATTAGCTGTTGTGGCCACTACTGCACATGTGATTGGGGGTGTCAATTCGGGTCAGCAGGTCGGGTTCGGGTCGAACCCGGAACTGACCCGGCACTGTTCGGGTCAACCTGAACCAAATCTGTTTTTAAAAACGGGTCAGGTTTCTGGACCGATTCGGGTCCAGGTCAACCCAACCCGACACGAATGACTCGAAGTTGACCTAAAATTGCTAATTTTAGGGTCAAAATTGGGTCAATATTCGATTTTCGGGTCAATCTCGGGTTTTCGGGTCAAATATGAGTTTTCGTGTCACTTTCGGGTCAATTACGGGTTGTTTGGTCAACCCGAACCCGACCCGATTTTTAAAACGGGTTGATTTGTTCAACACGAACCCGACCCATTTCGGGTTCGGGTCAACCCGAACCCGGATTTTTCCGGGTCGAGTTCGGGTCGTGTCAAAAATTGACACCCTGCATCTTGTACCTCCACTGCTAACTACTGACCATCACTATAGTTGGGCTTTACATTATATTCATTTTATTTTTTTTACAATAATCCAAACAACTCCAAATATTAAAAAAATATATTTATTTACATAATATTTCATTTTACTCTTTATTATTTTTTCAATAAGTCAAAAAGCCCCTTAGTTCAATATTAACTCAAAGCGGTTCTCTCTTATTTTGATTCCAGTCAAATCCAGCTATTGACTAATTTTGCTTAGCTTAATTTGATTCAATTTTAACCCTAAATTTGATCCTCATAAAAAAATCATTAAATTTCTTGAATGATTATCAATCTTTCAGTAAAATTCTTATGTCGAAGTTTTTTTATGATAAAAATGATGAATAAATTTGAAATAATATAAATAAATTTATATTTAAGTTTTTTTATTTTTTTAGATATTTAAGTTAATTAAATCAAATTCATACATACATCATATATATAAGACTCGAATCCAAAA